CCAAAGTCTTGGGCTATCGGTGCCAGGGACCAGCTTCTTATCCGCTCCTTGGGGGCCGAAATAACATCAGACACAAATTCTTCTTTATCGATTGACCGGCATTCAGCGTTTGCCAGCCACTTAAGCAACAGTGGGGAGAAAACTGTTGGGGGTACGTGAGTTCAGAGGGAGGGGAACCGTTCAGGGTCAGCCCCCCCCCTCCCACCAAGAGCCTGGAATTTATGAAGAATTTTATTTATTTATGTATGTATTTATTGGCATTTACGCTGAAAGAGCAAGAGAGGAGCTAAGCCTACGATGCCACTGAGATTAACAAAGCCTTCAAAAGATGACAAAGATATCATTTGCCTTATATAGCACCAACAGTCCTCAATTTACAAGCATTCGTTTAGCGACTGTTGGAAGTTACAACAGCGCTGAAAAAAGCGACTTCTGACCGATTTTCACACACACAACCATTGATAGTCTCGGGATCCCATAGTCTCGGGATCAAAATTCAGACGCTTGGCAGCCGACTCATATTCATTTGCAGCGTCCTGGGGGTCATGTGACCCCCCTTTTGCGACCTTCTGACAAGCCAAGTCAACGGGGAAGCCAGATTCACTTAACAACCGTGTCACTAACTTAACAACTGCAGCGATTCACTTAACGACTGCGGCAAGGAAGGTGGTAAAATGGAGCAAAACTCGCTTAACAGCTGTCTCCCTCAACACAACTGTGGTCTTAAATCAAGGACCATCTGTCCCGTTCTGGCTGCAGTCATCCTCTACAGTAACTGAGTTACTGAATTCGGTCCATTTTGGAATTTGCATAAAAACTCTGAAGACCTAAGCTCGCCAGACAGGATGGGTTGTGTTGTGCAGGCAGACTTAAAAAAAAAGCTAAACAAAACCTAGTTGATGGGATGGGGGAAGAGAATCACCTAACCTGGGAACTCTAAGCCCAAATTAATAAAGTGAAATTTTGCCTCACATGCTAAGAGGGTTACCCCCACTTCCTATGATTCTATTCTCCAAAGCGCCTGAAGGCAGGACAAGAAGCGATGGATGGAAACTAACCAAGGAGAGAAGCAACCTAGAACTAAGGAGAAACTTCCTGACAGTCAGAACAATTAACCAGTGGAACAACCTGCCTCCAGAAGTTGTGAATGCTCCAAACTGGAAGTTTTTAAGAAGACACTGGACAGCCATTTGTCTGAAATGGTATAGGGCACTGATGGAGAGTCTTTTAGAGACCGAGTGCCCAAACTGCAACCCAAAACCCACTTATGTATCATCGGGTGCCAGGTGGCCGTGGCCCATTGGCTGGGTGGTAACGGCAGACTGGGTGGTCTGCCGTTACCACCCAGTCTGGCAGACTGCGGTGGTAACGGCAGACTGGGTGGGACTAAAAAGTTCAATCAATCAATTCCAACTTTGCGAGATCTTTTTTTTTTTCCGCGAGATGTTGAAATTGATTGATTGAACTTTTTTTTTTTGCACATGGTGGCAGAGGCCTAAAGCAAAAAGATTTTATAAAACCCAGCTGAAGGCCTAAGACTGGGGCGATAGCGCGCGTGCCCACAGAGAGGGCTCTGCGTGTCACCTGTGGCACGCGTACCATAGGTTCACCACCACGAGTATAGGGTTTCCTGCCTGAGCAAGGGGTTGGACTAGCTGCTGGCTCAGGAATTCTGGGAATTGAAGTCCACGAGTCATAAAAGAGCCAAGGTTGACTACCCCTGGACTAGATGATCTCCAAGGTCCCTTACAACTGTGTTATTGTTATTGTTATTGATCAGAAGACTTCCCTTCCAATTCTATTATTCTGTAAATAATGTGGTGGACTGAACATGCCAGATCACGAACTGCCCACCCTCATTTTATCTTAGCTAAATTTGCGGGCGAACCCAGTGTGCATGTTTCTGTGTGTTTTCTTGTGTGTGGCATGATTGCATTTGTGCTTTCATCATTTGAGTAAACATCCATAGAGGTGCAGACAAGCTCCTTCAAAGCAGCAGTGTAGAAACTGCAAAGCGATCCAGCTGTAATAAAACCAAGACCCAAAGTTTTAACATCGTGCTCAGACAAAATAATAAAATATCGGTTCTCCTGCTTGAGCAGGGGGCTGGACTAGAAGACCTCCAAGGTCCCTTCCAGCTCTATTCTGATCTATTCTCCCCCACCCCCAGTGATTTTCTGCTCATCTTTAAAAAAAAGGAGGCGGAGCATCTTCTTCACTGCTGGCATATTCTTCACGAAGGCAAAAAGACTGGAAAATTAATTAAGGCAGATGGCAATAAAATGCATTTTGGGGAAAGGGGAAATTTATTTTGCTCAGCTTCCTCTACCCACGAAAGCCGATCGCTGGAGCACAGGGGTTGTCAAGGCTAAGCAAACACGTTTTTCCCCAGTGATGTAGAAGCCCAACAATATAAGACAGATTAAGCGGTTATTGGGCTGATCTGTGGCCATTGTTCTCCCATACAATGCTTCTCTCAGCCAGAAACGGGCAAAGGCACCAGCAAACAGCTGGGTCAGATCAGGCCAGCCTGAGCACCCACACAGCATCACAAAGAGGTTAGTCTGGACAAGGGTGCCAAAACTGCCTCTTGTATCATGGCCCCAGCCCTAGCAGGGGGCTAGACTGGATGTCCTCCAGGATTCCTTCCCACCCACTTACCCTTTGCAATACTAGGGTATTGTCACAGCAAGTATCAAAATAGCCCAATGCAGGGACCCCTCAACGACCACAATTGAGCCCCAAATTTATCTTGCCCCATTTTACAAACCTCTCTTGCCACAGCGGTTAACTCAGGGGTCTTCAAACTTGGCCCTTTTATGACTGGTGGACTTCAACTCCCAGAATTCCTCAGCCAGGCACGCTGAGATAATGACCTGGATAAAAACATGGCTGACTGAGGAATTCTGGGAGGTGAAGTCCACCAGTCATAAAAGG